TTGTGAAAAGAAAATGGATTTGGAAAAGATTTTTATAATTAATTGAATGAGAATGAGGTTTCTTTTAAAAACCTCACATTTTGGTTAGTTAGTTTCCGCCTAATTAATCTTTGAAAAATCGGGGCATTTCACAATCTGTATTTGATGGACCTCATCAACATCTAACCTTAGGAATTACTTGGAGCGAAAAGAAAATCTGGCAATTGACCTATTTGAAATATTTGATTTGTTGGCATGGACAAATTCAGTATTTCAATGGGAACTCAAGGATGAAAAAGAAGAGAAGAGAAGAAGAAAAAGTAGGAGGAAGGAAAAGGGCCACAAGACAACACTAACACAAAATTACCATAGCCGTATATACTCAATATTAATAATCCAAAGCTAATAACTATTACAATGCAAAACCCTAAATATATAGGCTAGAAACCCTAATTGAAAATAGGAAACTAAATTGTCATATTATTTGGAAACTTAATCCCTAGTAGAATACGAAATTAAATATAAAAATATAAATAAAACAAATAAGCGTAAATATTAAAAATAAACATAAACTTGATTAAAAATATTGCGCACATGTTCTGCATTAAGAAATCCATTTAACTATCTAACTGATCCCAAGGGCCACTGCCCTAGTCTCACAAATTATAAAATCTATGTCGTGTTCATACGTTTCACATCACTCACTTATCCTTTTGACCAAGTCAAGGATGAATTGACCTCCATGGACCAACTCTATGAAAGGTGGTCTCCACCTCTACACAAGGCACCTCAAGGAAAGCTCCTCTACACACTAGAGTGCAACCTCCATCTCCATGGCATGTCTAGAGGCTCCTCCTCCGCTGCCACTCTCTCAAAGTCTAAGGCTACATCATTTCTCTCCTTCTCCATGTCTAGTGCTCTTGTGCCATCTTTGTGCCTAATTACTAGAGGTACTTATGACTGCTCACATATACAAGATCACCCTCATGGTATTGGATACCAATATTGTTGTTATGCCTTTCTTTTATCTATTTCGTCATTTTTCTTAATTAACCATTCACTTGGTTGAGTGTTGTCATGTTAGAAGGGAAAAGGGTATATGATTTAGGGTATTACCTTGCCCGTGTCAATGTCAAGTATTGGCTGCCACCTTTTAGTAGCAGCAATACAAATTTAGTCCATTTAGGATTTGTGATTTAATATATGACATGACTCAAGGATTCGGGTAGCCATCCCCACTTAATTGGGTCATAAGGCTTAGTTTGGTTTGTATGTCTCAACGATTCATATGGTTGTGGGCACTTTCTCTCATAGACAGGTATTTGGAAAAGCAAGGCCCACCCCTCCTATGGTTGCTTTTGTGCTTGAACTGATGCACATTATAGCCATTTAATTATTGACAATCTTAGCAAGAGATGCAAAGTGATTTTTGATTGGTCCTATGGACGATGAATTATAGAGTTTAATTTGCTTAGTTTTTGGCATTAAATGGGTAATGCTGTTTTTAATGATTGAGCTTTCTGCCTGTTGGTCTTCTTATTGTTCAAAAAAGATAGAGAAAATTGTGTGGCAGTCTTCAACTATTTATGTTTTGTGGAGACTTTGAATGGAATGTAATAGGGAGATCTTTTAATGGTATTGAGTTACCCATTTATAGCTTGAAATTTCGTTTCTTCTTATTATTTTTATTAATGAGAGCGGATTGTCATTTCTCCATTTTGATTTTTGTGCATTTCATAGGAAATTTGGGATGGAATGGATTTTTAGACACATGGATTTTGGTTTTTTGAGTGTACATGGTTTGCTCCTTTTTTGGCAGTTTTTAATAAAAATATAGCAATTGTTGCTAGACATTAAGATATTAGTTTAAGCTTCAGAATATTGTGGCATTGCGCTGCAAGTTATATATCCTTTTTGCTCCTTCCCTCTCCTTCCAATCATTGTGATGAGTTATAAAAGCAGATAATATTGAGTGATCACAAAAAGACAAAAATGGAACAAAGAAAAATGATATATTTTTTGTGTGGGTATTATCTTAGCATCCTATGTATTGTTTTGTTTTTCTAATTGAATTGGATGGTCTTGAATTGTGGGGCTTTTTCCCAAATTATGTTAAAATAGTAATTTATTTTCCAAACTAGGTTTAGTTTGGACGGAATTCTTAAATTAAGCTAAAACGCTATTACAAACCACGCTTTCACCGTTTTTAGGACCCTCCCGCAGAAAATTTGTGAAATGGTAAAAGCGTGGTTACAAACCACGCTTTTAATTAAGAAAGAATGATTACAAATCACGCTTTTAAAGAATTTCTTTTTCTTCATAAAACGTAGTTTCAAACCACGCTTTATAAACTTTTTTGAGAAAACGTGATTTCGAATCACACTTTCAATATCAGCCACTCTACGCACTCACTCTTCTCTCTCTCTCTCTCTTTTAGAAAAATGATATAAATGACAATTTTATTCCTTAAAATATTTGGGTTCGTTTGGTTTGTATTTCTGAAAAAATTTTGGGAAATTTTCTCTACAAATAAGTTTTTAAAAGTAATCAAACTAAACAAATTTTCCCAAAAAAATTTCCCAAAACTTGTAAACCAAACAAGTTTTCAAAACAAATCTCTCTCTCATACACATCAAATCAATCACTTTTTCCAAAACTCTCTCTCAAAATAATTTTTCAAAACATCTTTCCAAAAAAATCAAACCAAACAACTTTTCGTACTTTTTATCTCCCAAACTCATCTCCCAAAATCAAACCAAACAAGCCCAGTATCCCCCATATGGGGGTACTATTGAATGCCCAGAGAGGAGTGATATGCAAAATGGAAGACTAAGGAGAAGTTCATATTAATTAATTAAATTATAAAATTGATTGGATCTTGTCAATACTTATAATCTTAAATCAATACAAAAATGAAATATGCTATACAATTCAAATGGATTGATAATCTTATGACTAACAGTCCTAGGCATGCTAATCCCAATCTAATGTGTCCAAACAAACATGACTTAAGAATAGAATAATCAATGTTCAATTTGAGATATTTCTCATAATGTATTAATGAATTATCTCATATATATATATAAATGACAGACCACGACGACAATAATAATAATAATAATAATAATAATAATAATGTGTTGAGTATTTTGTCATTTATTTAGATGAGCAGAAAAAAATTAGTGTTGATTTTGATTGTTAGCAAACTTTATGTAAAACTTTTTGGATTCGATAGCATTCCTTGATAAGTCGATAGCCCCTTTACATCAGCTATTAGTGTGAGTGAAACTTTTTCACATTGAAAATAAGTAATGCTTACAATAGTATGGTTTGGACCATCAAGAAAAATCAAATATAATATCATTCAAAGATATTAGGGGTACTTTTAAAAGATATTAAAGTGAAATTACGCCTAATTGCTTATTTGACGAGAGATCATTTGATGGTCTTAAAACAATATTTCACACCATTTATCACTTGACATTTGTTAAATTAACTCTCAAAAACTCAATTTGGTGGTCTTAAGTTCTATTGTTTTGACTATCTAAACAAAAAAGTTCTAATGTTTTAATCAATAAATATCAAATTGAAGCGTCACACGGATTTGCCCAAAGACCAACAAAATAATTTTCCCTAGTTGACAGTCCAAAAGTGGGGATACGCTCCCCTCCATTCTCTCTTGTAGGCCTCAATTCAGATTTACTTTGATGATTTAAACCATCTACTTCATAGGCTTCACTTTAAAGGTTATTCATACAAAAAATTAAATTTATCTGACAACTATAAATACAAACAAATTACGTTTTATTTTACAAAATGAATTATTTAAATTTATAATCTTATTTGCTATTTATTCTATAAAATAAAATGTGATTTGTTCTTGTGTTTATAGATGTCCGATAAAATTAATTTTTTGTATGGATGACCTTTTTTACAGAAGTTACAAAGTAAACGATTCAGATCATCAATGTAAGTTCGAATTTGGACCCACAAGAAGAGTATAGATGAATATGAAGAAATGCAATTATGGAGGAGAGCTTATCTCCAAAAAAAAGTGAATCTAATCAATCAAGCAAGAAAAAGGATTTTCAATAGTGATTAGCGGTTGATAGTTGTTGTAAGAATGCTTATCGCCATACCATGTAGAATTTGATCCTCACAAAATAAATGTCACAATTAGCAATTCTTTAACGCTGTGTTTGGTTGGAGGATTTGGGAAGGGAAATAGAAAGGGAAATGGAAATGAAAGGAAAAGGAGAAAGAATTAATAGAATTCCAAATCCCAACTATGTTTGGTTGTGTTGGTTATAAAATAGAATTGATGTCCTAAAAGGTATTCTATTTCTTTATTTATTTCTCACTCCCTTTCTTTTCTCATATATTTTTTATTATAACCAAACATAAATAGGATTACATTTCTCATTCCTTTTCCAAATCCCACCTCAAAAACTCCAACCAAACACAGCATTAAGGCATCTAACAATACTTTATCGATTTCCCATTTATTTTTTGCGGATAATCTCATTTTGTTTGCCCGAAATGTATGTTTTTATTAGTAGTTATTTTAAGTAGTACAAATAAGAAGTATAAAACATGTGGATGCCGAATGGAAAGGATGATATCAAATGTGGTTATATCTTCTTATAAAGAGCAATTGGAAAATATTGGAATGAATGAGAAATTATGATGAGATTTTAAGAAGCAACAGAAAGTTATTCAGATTATGAGGAGCCCGACACAAATTTACTTAGACTTTATGATCAATATAGTAAACAACAATGGCACATCCCTCTAAAACTAGAGCTCTAGTGAGGTAGAAAATATAAAAAATAAATAAATAAATAAATATAAAAAAAAACACACACACACACACAAGGCCAAAATATCACATTAGATGAGCCCCACATGCACATTATAGCTCACAAATTAGAACTCTAAAATATTTTTGTATAGTAAATATGTTATAAATACTCAAAATTATTTAGGGCTTACCCTACCCGCCCCTTCATAAGTCCACTGCATAAACTTTAACATAAAATTTTCATTACTTACAGCTTTACAAAAATAATTGAATATTCAAAATTTTTGGGAAATTTGAAATTAAGCACCCTAAAAGTAGCAAGACTTGGATAGAGGATACGTTACATTGGATGCCAATTTTCATGCTTCCCATATCAATAAAAATTAAAATACAAGTACACAACAGCCACATATCTTGACACCTCTGCCAGCAGTTGATCCTTGATTTCTCAGTTTTGAATTTGAGCACAAATTCACACCACAAAACCATCGCCTTCAGTTGTGCCTTGACGCCCAAGGCTCCACATGAACAAGAATCTATGTAAGAAAACGCAACTCCAAATGAGAAAGGTGCCATTTTAAATGTTGCATAGATAGGTGGAAGTAAGCAAGTGTACCATCATATACAACATGAAAATGACAAGAATGATTGGAAGTAGTGGGTCAAACAAAAAAACAAATTACTTCCCAAAATACAATGTTACAGGCACAATATGCTCAATCACTACAATGTATACGTATTTACGTACGTCTAAAGACATTTGAAAAGACGGTTATTAGATAGAGGACCAATTTAGTGTAGTGTTATGTAAACTAAAAATTGATAATCAAAAGCAAAAGTTGAAATCATCCCTCCCTAACTTTCTAAATAATCAACTTTTTTTCAATTTATTTAACATATTTTTACTTCATAAGCTGTAATAAAAAACTGCACCAAACACACTAACACATGCTGCTGCACCAAACAAGTTCACAGAAAAGTTTTCATTTCAAGGTTCTCCTAGCTTTCAATTTTATCTAATTAATGATTGGCAGTTACAGAAGTGATGAATTTTAACAATACATAGGGACCTTTTTGAAAGTTGATATTGCAACTGCTTCAAAATAAGGGAAAAACAAGATGTTGTGTTCCATATATATATTTGTGTCAAGAGTTATTATACACATGTATATTATATTTTGATAGTTCACCACTAAATACTATATGCCTTTTAAATGTTGCTGCTGGAACCTACTCCTATTATTCAGGGACATTATATCAAAAAAATACTAGTCCAGTTATTTTTCCAGTTGAATTATTATCGTCCTATAACGCAACGACTTTCATCAATGTAGAACTCCAATTATTCAATACATTTTAGAAACTCACCAATGAGATCTAGAGTTGTAAGTTGATCCTTTCAGACCATTTGAAGATTTCAGAGTAAACTTGATCTCCTCCCAAGTCTACTCCTGTAGCTCCCGCTGCCACTCTAATAATATCTTCAATTAGTGCAAAATTCCCCATTATATCGACATGAGCACCACTCTGGGTTCCCCGACCTTCCAAAAGATTAGCTGGAGGGGCATGATTATATTCCCTTATGTAAGTACCAATGCCTGAAGGATTGAATCGGGTCTTTCCACGCCAACCTTTTGCAGACATAAAACCTGCACTCAGGACAGGAACTGTTTCGTCTCCGTCAACGGAAAAAACGCCACCCTTTAGACAAGTGCAGCCAGGTCCACCCTCTGCTGAGGTATCAATCTGAAATGGAATGTAACACTCAGCAGCAGAACTTAACTTATAAACATATGCCCTTTCAGTGGGGATTCCAACTCCATACATGGAGAAAATCTCCATGTCAGGAGCATTTGGTAATCTGCAAAAACATCACAGAACGTCAAAATCTACAGCAAAATACTATTTTCCAAACAAATATACTTCAACAAATTAACCTACCCCTCCCTAGGAAAAAATATTTCCACAAAGTCAGACCTAAATAATACTTAATAAAACAATACCATTTTCTGATTCTGATATCTATTTAATTGAATGCTATAAAATTATGAATATTTTAGCATTTACCAAAGCTTTAATCTTAATAAGACAAATCATGTATTAACACCTTACTTAACACAATCAAAATCATAGTTCTAAAGAGAGAGAGAGAGAGAGAGAGAGAGTGAGTGACAGCCAACCATTCATGCATAATGCATATCATGTCATCCTTGCATTTAAACTCTGTGGTATATGCTTGCTTGAACTAGAACTTGTTAAGGGCCATAAGGGAAGGAGAAGTTCAGTGAAGATATTAAGTATAGAAAAATTATGTGTTTCATGTTTCAAGTTAGGGGATACTTTAAATTAGAATTTGACAATGTTAGGATGTGCCTATGCCCTAATTGAGGAGCTTAAAGACTTTAGTCTAATGTGCTTGTTCATTTCATGCTATTTGTTGTTTTGCTAAGCGGGAATAGTGGTAATTAAGCATACTTAGTGAGCCTTAATTAGGATTAATTAAGTAAAGCATGATTAAGTTAAGCCTAGATTAATTAGTATAAACCTTGGTTAACTAAGTCAAATAAGTAAGATTAGACAAATTAATCAAGCACAAGCTAGTACCTCCCCTTTTTGTCTCCTACAATCTTTGTATTGTTCAACTCAATAAAACCAAACAAAGAGAAAAAATTCTGCAGAAGACTAGAACAAACGAGAGAGAAGAAAGGAGGAGGGAGGAAAGGAAGAAAAGAAAGGAGAAAGAAGAGGGAACGGAAACTCTAGCTCAAATTCAACCTAGAAAGTGTTTCAAAGTAAGATTTCAATCCCAAATCTTGTAGTAAACCCTCCTAGCATCTAAGATTGAGAAAAAGTTGGGGTCAATTTGAATTAATAAGGAAGAAATGAGGGAACGAATGAAAAAAGTTGGGCTAGGTTGAAGAGCTAGATAGGAAGCATAGGAATTCATCATTTTGGTTAAGTTTTTGATGTCCTTGATGCATATAAGCTTTCATCTTCACATGTTCCTTTGATTTTCAAGAGTTTTGTATATTCAAATTCGAGTTTTGTATATTCAAATTCATGCTTTGAATGAGAGAAAATGAGAAGTTAGAAAAAGAGTTGAAAAGAAACTAGACTTGTGGATTTCTTAATAAAAATCATGTTCATGAAACTTTAAGTTCAATGCATAAAAATGTTTTCCTATGAATCATTCATCATTTATCTATATTATTGTACCTTAGAAACCATGTTTTGAGGTTTGACGATGAAGAAAATCAAGTTAGGAAGCCCAAAAACCTGAAGAACAACGTCCGCCTTGACTTCTGCTTGTTAGGCACCTGAGCGGCCATCATAGGGCGCACGAGCGCGTAAAACCCAATCTACCCTAACTCAAGCCACCGCTCGTGCGGGCCAGGCCACTGTACGAGCGGCGAAGGTGGGCGCACGTGCGAAACCCTTGCTCCAACCCAACTTCAAATGGGCATATCTCTCATCCGGACTCCATTTTAAGCAATTATTGAGTCTAAATGAAGTCTAATTTCCAATGATGGTGGTCTCACATCCAAATTCCATGTATACAAAGAGACATGTTTAAAATAATGAAGGTTGTTTACTTTCTTTTCTTTTCAACCATTTCATTACAATTTCGCGCCTAGCTTGTTTCTCTTTCATTTCTTCCTATTTCCTTAAACTTTAAACATCTAAACATGATATTTTCAACATAAAGCATATGAAATGGTTATGGGATACTTAGAGCTCTTCAGCGTACGTCTTTGACACACTTCAACATTTTTCAGACCTTACTCACCTAGGATGCTTCTATGCATGCATTCGATACACGTTTGACACTTGATTTAGACTTGAATTAGGCTTAGAAAAGTCTTGGATAATCTAAGAAAATATTAAGAAACACTAAGTTAAGTTAGAACACTAGAAGTGAATTTAGAAGCTTGTTAGTTTAATTGTTTTCAATGTTATGTTTATGCCTTGTGTAGGTCAAGCACATTGGAGGAGAAACCCTTGTTCAAGAGCCATTTTTTAGTAATTTAGTAACACTATGTTTGATAAATTATGTTTTCAATGCAAAACTTGATTATGTTTATGAAGTGATGCTATGGTTTGTTATGAATGAACATCCTATATTCTTCTATCATGTATTATGATAGCATTCTTGGATCATGTTCCAATATTGGGGGAATAACCAATCAAGTCATGTTGGCCGAGCTCACCTTGCCACCTTCGGGGGATTGTTTAGCCAATACCCAGGCCGGTTAACCACCTTGTTATCCTCAAAATGTTCATCACTATATAAAAGTTTGCGAGTCAAGTTTTGTACTATCATGTTCAAGTTATGACTTTATTTATTTATTTATTTATTTGATAAATATTCAAGTTATGACTTTATGCTATGTTTTATAAACCTTGTCGGTGTTCATTCATCTACCGCCTTACTTTATTACTATTCACTAGGCAATGCCTCACCCGTTTCCCTTATGTATCTACGTAGGTGATGAAAAGGTCGATTACGAGAAGAAGTTTGATGAGAAGCCGGTCTTGTATGCTTGTGCTGGACTTGTAAAGCTTTGTCATGAGTGTTGTGTTTTACTTTTGTCATATAGATCATGTAAATAGCAAGATAGTAATCCGTAGGAAATGTATACTTTCATTTCATATAGTTATGCACTACTCTGAATGGATGTTTTAATTGGATACAATATAAGAAAATAATGGTTTCCGCACTTGTAAACGGAATAAATTTGCCCCAATTATTATAAGAGTTCAGTTAGTTTTGAAAGTTAGGCCTTCGGTAGTCTACGACTACTGCCCGGTCACAACGCCATCCTATTAGGGACGGGTTGGGGTCGTGACAATAGTCCCCTGCACATGTAGCTACGAACCCCGCACGTGTGGCCTGGACTTCCAACCCAATTTCAGGATTGCACCAATCCGCACATGCAGCCAACCTTGGGCTCCCGTACGTGTTGTCTGCCCTGTTTTGCATGTTTAAGATGCTTTGATGTCTTAGACACTTTGGGACCCCAATGTGGGCATTTGAGACTTGATTAACACTTGGAAAAGACTTGCAATTGAACCAAGAATGCACTAGACAACTCATGAATGGTTTAAAATGCAATGAACTAAGATTAGAAGACTTGGAATTAGGCTAATCATGTAGCAAATTGCCTTGTTTTGAATATAAGTTCTATTTGTGCTATCTTATGCTTTTGTAGGTGATAATCTTGTAGACTAACTGATGCAAAGTATAAAAAGCTCAAGGAAAGCTAAATTTAGAGGAGTGATACTTGGACATTGGCATGATTTCATAGAGAAACTGATAGAAACAATCTATAATTATGTTTCTAGTATTATTAGAGTCTTATTTTATTATTATTTTTATTTTTTCCAAGTTTTTTAAGGTTAGGTGTATTTTGGTAATTTTATATTTGCTAACATGGGTCGTATGGGTTGCCCATGGGTCGTCTGGTGGGTCAAGTTATTTTATTGAGTTTCATTTATATTTCTTATTTTGCTTGGAATTAGTTTTTCAAGTCAAAAATATTATGATAGTTTCCTCTTCTTTCTTTTTTTTTTTTTTTTTCGTTATAGTTGGTTTAGGAAGTTTCCTAATTCTACATAATGCCATGTAATGCTTATAATTCAATAGAGTTTATATTTTGGAGAATTTTTCAGAACTTTTGAAGCTTCTTATGGATTGTGTGATGCAATCACGCAACCTTAACCCTAGGTGTGATACCTAAGGGATTTTAGGAGTGAGGCATACCTATCTTCTTCTTCTCCTTTCTTTCTTTCTTAAATTTCAACACTTTCACAACCCCAGAACAACCCTGACAGCGCTATCCCTATTCGTCCTACATCACTAGCCCCAGCACCAACAGCCATTGTTTGTAGTACTTTTGTAATGTTATGTTTAAAAGCTTGTTTTGGAACTCAAACCTATACTATGTTTTGAAGCACTTGATGATGTTTGCTATTAAGATGGCATCCTTGGAATGGTCCTAGCTACTAGGGGACCTTAAGCATTTTAGTATCACCGCGATTGAGATCTCCCTTGTCACCTGCAGGAGGGATCATCTAATCAGTTTTGAGCCGGTAATTCCCTTGTTTCGTTTTTCTCTAATAGATGTACATTTCTAGTATATTTTGAAGCTAAGTTTTGCTATGATGCTCTTGACAAGAACAGTACTTGAACTATCTTGTATTATGTTTTGATGAGAATAGTTTGTAAACTTGATGATATTCATTCATTACCACTTTACTCTAGTACTATTCACTGGCATATGGCTCACCCGTTTGCCCTATATGTATGTAGGTGAAGACGAAAAACAAGTTTTAGAAAAAGGTTTATCTTTTAAAGCTTTGTTATGTACTTTTGTAGAACAACACTTATGTATAGTTTTGGATCTTATAAGAAAAGATTTGTATAAGCAAATAGTAGTGATGGGGAGTTCTTGTATAAGTATGAATGAAGTAGTACTCTTTTTGCAAACTTCGTATACAAGCAATATTTTAAGAGGTTAAGGAAGAATGACTATGTTTCATTTATAACCTATGCACTTGCTCTAAACGGACTTAATCAAGTTAGGACTATTATAACGCTTCCGCATATGTCCCCTAAGGTACTATAATCCATTACTTGTTTTGTCTTGTTAGGACTTTGGTAGTCAAGACTATTGGCTGGTCACAATCTATCCTGGTTGGGATAGAATGGGGCCATGACACATTTTACAAGATCACATATTACATTTAAAAACCAGTAAAACATAACTGGTTGTCCCAAAACTACACTTATGTAACTCTTCGACTCTTGTTTCTAAAATCCTTATGTCAAATGCAGATGAGTCAAGTTAGACAACAGCACCCAAAAAGAAAGGCAACTCTAATGGAAACTTTTTTTCAGTTTATTTAACAAAGATGTGTTTCATCACAAACTTATAGCTGGTAATAGAGACCAAA